GGGGGGCAGACGTTCATCGCCAGATGACAAAAGCTGAACAGACTTCTCTTTTCAATCCAGCACTTCACGTTAGACAACTCACTGAGCTTCTTTCAAGAGAGACAAGACTTATTACATGGCCGCGATAAGGTCTACTCACAATGTCTCTGCGGAATGACCTCTCGTGAGGCTCAAGATAACGCCAACTCTCAACCTACGCCGAAAACACGAAAGATCATTGCGTGTATACACTCATCGGTTCTCTTTCCACAGTACGATAGTATCAAATCCAACTTGGGATCTAGAAGTGTAACATACTGGGGTCAGTTGTGTATTATCAGGCCTCCCGATATTCGACAGTTGGCAACGAGTCAGATCTGCCTTTACACAGGTGGAGAAGATGGCTGTCAAGATTGAAAAGCATATGAGCGAGGAGAGGGTTGATATCAAGGCCCTTAAAGAAATGGGTGCAAAGGCACAGGAAAAGAATGCATCGACTTCACGCACGAGAAGGACGGCACGTGCAAAAAGTGTGGGCAAACAGTTACAGACCTGAAAAACCACACCCGCCGATATTGTCTCGGATGTGCCGCGCAGACGCCCAATCGGCCTGTAAAAGGAAAAACAGACACGGGAACACATCGCCAATCAGCACATGGCCCGAGATAATACTCAGCTGTGATGGTTCAGCACTACAACAGAGTCCTCTGACATCATCACGTTCAAGCATCACGCATCGAAAACAGTCTGATACATCAAACACTCAAGGCACCTGGCTACGAGTTGGTGATACCAGCGGACCCAGCTTTCTTCGCTATAGTGTCAATTATAATACGTCCGATAGAAGAGACCATAATCTCGAAACCGGACCGCATCTTCCACACCGCGACTTTCAGTGTGCAATCTTTTACTTCCGCCGGCAAGGCAGACGACAAGTGGAACGCGTACTCGCCACATCCCCAGGCTGAGATTGATGCATTTGTGCTATCGCGACCGGAAAAGTCTTCCAAGGAAAATACTGAGCTCATCGCAAGTATTTCGATCTTGAGAATTTGCCAAAATCTTTACTGCCTCGCTGATGCTGCCGGGGGAGGGTCTTTGTATAACAGAACCTAGGGTCGAATCGGTAAGCACAATCATGACTACGGTCAACTTTGCCGATGAGGACGAACGGAGCAACTGAGGCAATACATGGAGTTGCTCACAAGAAGTGCTATCTGAAGTTCTCTCGGAAAGATGGTCGATAAAAAGAACAACACCAGAGAGCGCAAGCGTAGCGCCACGACTGCTACACCAATAATCCCCGTCATCCAAGTTTGCTGTCTCCTCCAAGTAGAAGGATCCAAAGACACCCAACGCCCTTAAACCCCTGTGTGACTTGATCCAAGCATGCGTTTATGAAGGGATCGTTAACATCATCAGCAGTGGGACATGGCAGGGTTGTATAACATTGCCGGTCCTGCTGTGGCCATTCCGCTCCGGCTGCTGTCGCGGATTGGGAGGCTCGCGAAGCAGCCCGCCAAGCAAGGGTAGCAGCTCGGAAGGCAGGAAACAAGTAAGAGACTGATGAAGACACTTCAGCGGTGAACCCTTAGGCGATCAGTTGAGAGCGACGCCGTTTCTGGCAATAGGCAACTGTCGGTCGACCGCACGAACAACACCCCGTATATGGGAGAATCCAAACTCAGAGGCCTCTCAGGACAAGGAGGCTCAAACCAAGATTATGGAAGTTCGGAAAACTGACTAGCTCAGCAATCACAGACGGAACGTCTCACCAACCGCTGAGTGTTTGCTCAAGAACACATGTTATGCACTGTCCCTTGTCAGATGCTCATAATCACCAGCTGAGTAGCATCAATGGGCAGCAACCAACCATTCTTCCAAACAAGCACAAACACTTCTCTACAACGTCTTTGCCACTTCTCTACTACCTGAAATGTGGGCAATGATTCATAGATGGATGGATCTCTGGTGCCATCTGGGGAATCTCATCACCACATCGGTTTTATATATTGGAGAAAGGGTTCACACGGAGACGCCATCTATCTGACTTCAAGCAGGAAGCTTTTCTGAAGTAGAACCAGCGTAAGCCCCAAGTTATGTAATCAGACTAAAACAAGCTGGTCCCAAGTCAAGAGCTACTTCGATCACTGATTCAGAGAACTCATAGACACAGAGTTCGTGTGCGAGTACTTGGACGAAGAATCTTTCCGGATTCATTGGGTGTATGAAGTTTCCTCATACCCTGGAGTGACAATGCCATTGGCAACAGTGTCTCAGCATGACTCCAGATGCATCCGGCCCTATTCCACAGCTACCAAAGCTCATCCCACCTGCTGGCAGATATCACGTGCTGTGTTTATGTCGGAAACCAGAAGGTCTGATGGCAAGATGGCGAAAGCAAGTTCTTGCTAAGCTTAACCGCCAACTGGTCAGAGAGAGACAGCATCATGAGTTCGCATCTGGCCAAATACCGGCTCCATAAAGGCGACCTGAAACAGGTCAAGATTCGTGAAATCTTGGGTCGCTATCTCGGAGCCAGAAGCTCTCCATCCGCATGTTGATCGGCATGCCACCTTCATCCGTCCTCTAGGCTGCCTGCTGCGATGAGCCCCAAGGTACTCCTGGAGTTCTCCTACAGAACGAGCAGCTACCCGGAAACATAACTGCCTGGTGGCAACCCATGCATTAATCTCAACTAGGACAAAGAATGATCTCCACGACATGATGACTCTCAAGTGGCAATTTGTGAGAGAGTGTACCGCGATTCGAAGAGGCCAGAGCCTTGAAGCGCAACCTCTTGACTTTTTGACAGTACCATTTTGCTGATTGATGGAAAACGCGAACACGGCCAAAGGATTCGCCAGAGCCACGGGGATTCGCGCCACATCAAAGTCCCTCAACTTTGTAATGAAGAACCCACCAGAAAAAGGAAACAAGTTCCTCGGCGCGGAAATAGTTGTCAACGACAGCGCAAGCTGTGGTACCGTTGTACTTGCTACAAGCCACCAGAAACTCAGCAAAAGTCTTCCGGCTGTCTGAAAGCAAGTGCCAGAAAGAAACCAAGCACAAGGCCTCTAGCAGTAAGAAATAACCTTGTCTCCTTGTTGATTCCACCTTTGACGAAGCGCCGGCTGATGAAGTGAGCCCTGAGCTCATCGCTTGTGCATCTGGACTTGCCAGACGACACGAAGTTGCTTGTCGTGAGTGTATCAACGAATGGCGGATCAACCCTTCATGGGTTTGTGAGATGACCGAGTCTGGCAGTAAGTCTTGGCTCCATTGATACATCCAGCCCAGCTAAAAGTACACCGTTGCCATCAGACTTTGTACCCGGACAAATCATAATGCGGCCCAAAGGAAGCCTGCTGAGCCAGTTCTCATGACCGATAACAACTCATACAGCTGGGGTCGTGTAGGAGATCATAATATTGTCATTGCCTCAATCCCAGATGACAAGGGTACCATATCTGCAGCAATCGCGGTATCTGAATTGCTCGGCTTACTACCTTATATTCGGATTGGGTTGTTGGTTGGAATAGGGGGAGGTATCCCAAAGTCTGAGAATCATCCGGATATTCGACTTGAACCCAGCCTACATCAGTCTGGAGTGCAAGTGGGCCAAGTCCTTCATGGCTGGCTGCTGTCCGCGAGTTCACGCACTTAGGATTCCTTACCTCTGGCCAACAACGCCTCTTCCCTTGGCTTACCGACGCCATTTCTCTGCTCCGCGATGGATCAGATGACGCTACCATCCCCTGCACCCACACACAATGAGCGTGAAGAGGCAGCGCAGATCCTGACCGACATGTCAGACCAGGGCTCTCCTCAGCATCCGCAGGCACCTTATTCCTGCCTCTATCTACAGCAACCCCAAAAGACAATGCTCGCCCTATTCAGTAACCGAAGGAGGCAAACTGCCATAAGCGCAATCAAAGCAGAGAACTCAATATTAACCAGCAACTCTCAGAGCGATCATATCTATAATGACACCCAAATATCTATCTATCACACACAACTCACCGAACTAGCCTAGGCATGGACTGGACGGTCAGCCAGCAGGGAGATTTTGTTTCCTATCCTCTGGGCAACCGGTTCAAAGCAAGGATCCAAAAGCTTTCAACTGAGAACTCAGAGAGGGGTGAGATTGACGCGCGGGTAGTTATCAAAGACTCTGTTCACAGAGGTCGATGTGCTCATACGAGAACTAGGTCATGATTATCCAGTGAAAAGTTAGGCAATGCGATAGCGCTATCAGCCATCTGCAGATCTTTGCCTTGGAGATATCCTCCTTATACACGACCTTGCATCACATCTGGAGTCGGTAATCACACGCCCTCACAGATGGCATTGCTTCTATGGTCGACCCAGAAGTCGTAGATACACGTTTACGTGAAATCGTAGACGCAAAAAATGTCTATCTTGATGAACGGGATCATCGAGCGAACCATGCCCTCGCCTCGATCATGCCAGGTAGCAATCTTACTATCTGGCATGATGGTATGCACACCGACACAATTTAGCGAGCGACCCAAATGGCACTCGGGCAAAGGAACACGATCAAACACAGAAACATGCCAGCGCGTCAGAGAGACAGAGAGTGAGGCCAAAAAGCAAGAGCACACTCGATAGAAGAAGGGGAGTTCCATGGATAGAATGATCCAACAAGTCGGGGTTCTTCTAAGATGACACTGGGCCGCACAGAGATTTGGAAAAGGACCGGAGGGAAAAGTCGAGACTCAAGATCTCGAACGACGAAAAGCTCGACGAAAATGCGATTTATCACCTGGGTAAAAACATCATCACAGGACGCGACATTACGGTCATAGCCCCTTTTACCATCAATGCCAAGTTAACCCCAACTTAAGCAATCATCTCTAAATATAGAGATAGAGAGAGGGAAAGAAGCAGAAAGCGATGTGAGAAATCAAACAAACAAAGGAATCTTTCAGCTGTTGGATTCTAGCACGATTGGTATTTTGACGAAGCCTTCCATCATACAGTCGGAAAATCAGGAGTATATGAGCAAGACATACCCCTCCCAACTCGACAATGCCTGGTAAGATACAATTTGTAACCATGATGCCACTTCCATTAACTTTTTCTTACAGGGCTATACTTTGGTTTCAGTCAATCTAGATCTATGCGATCCAAAGTCAGCACCAGGCATACCTGATAAAGCAATCTCTTCGACGATCGGTAGAGAGTTTATACGTGGAGCAAGAACCTGCTCTTCTGACAGCGTTTAACGAATTACCCGATACTCGCTGAGATTTACCTTTCAATTGAGTCTACGAACATAAGCAACTCAACATTTCCAAGGCAGCATCGCACTTCACCTGGAAGAATCCACCAAGCATGCCCAGATAGTGTCACCAACGAAACGGACAAGAAGGTGAATCACCAGCCCCAGACCGCCAAGTCTATATCACCCACTGTTATCTCGAGCCAGAGTCTTTCGACAGGACACATACGCATTGCGACCTCCTATCGCCGTCACCATCATCAATTGCCTCCAATGGGGACGATGAATCTCGTTCGCGAGATGAGATTTATTGAAACCAGGACAGGAATTCCAGAGGTGCTTATACTATTCCTCGAGAATGTAAACCAATCTCGTACCAGGGGCATGGGAAAAGCCTGCGGGTAAGGATTCCAGGAGTATATCTTGTATAAAATTTACACCACACCAAAGCACAGGTCGTAGACCCGACGCTGGCAAATGAAACCATGGCGAGACTGTTTCTGCCCAAGACGAAGAGTCTCCTCCGGCAGTGGGAGGTAGACGTTGCCGGCCCTACCAAAAGGCTTTGGCTCCGAGCCCTGTGCTTTCAAAGACATGTCCAAACATATGAAGTGACCGTCACGATCGTCAACTTTATGAGCATCCAATCTTTCTGTCCGAGCCCACTCCTTCGTAACATGCCACGGGCTCGGAGACATTCTTGTCTCCGCTGCCATCGAAAGATATCTGCCCTACTCGCCGGTCGACGTTGCAGTTGGACTTCGACGCCGCCCGCCTCGCCTTGGACGAAGACGCAGATGATTTGTGGATATACACTGCATTTGGATGCAGGAGGAGCCACACGTCCTGCGCCGAAATGCACGCCAAGCTGGAATCGGATGAGGGAATCAAATTCGACGACTTATACCTGGCGTCGGGTACCATGCCACCAACCATCTGAGTGACTGTTTCGGGTACATCAAGCTGATGCGGCGTCCAGGGCTGCCACTGAACTATAACCTGGCCACCCACTTCAACGGGAACGTTCCATTGTTTCTAGCTATACTCAAACACAGTATTTCACTGAGGGCCATGCTTCATAAGGCTGACAACCTCGACGAAGAGGGTGACGAAGATGGCTGGATCAACGTGGAAGAACTAGACAATGCAGTTCTCAGCTGAGAGAAGTAGTCTACATCAGCCCAATCTCCCAGACCAGAATGGACACTTCAAGAACAAATTCACGCGGAACAGGAATATTTTGAATGTGCCTGACAGTGGAAAGAAGCACTGGACATTCTAAGCACTGCCGAAATCCAGATGCGAGCTGCAGAGGCCAGAGTGGCGACGCTCGAGGTGGTCCCTTGTGCTGCAGAAAACTCCAAGAGAGGGAGTCCTCGACCTTCAGGGCAAAGGTGCTGGGCAGGACGACCAATCCCTCTACGAAGTCCTTGAGGATCATCTTGACCTCATTCTTGGAGAGACTGTCAGCGCCCACATGCGCCCAACTGACCAGAGGCGAAAATTCAACGAATTCGGGCCTGGAACTATTATATTGGCTCCTCTCATTACCAAATCGCTTACATTTCACCATGTCATCCCTACTGCACTACTGATTCTTCAACTGCGGACAGCGCAAAACGCTACATATCCTACCTGGCACCAGAGCCAAGTCTTGCCATGCCCTTATCACGAAAAGGGTCGGAACAGGTCACTTCTGACGCCGGTCAGCCCCAAGCTCGGCATAGTTGTGGCAAGAAATACATAGAAAACTCCCAGTGCCTCGAAGACTGACGCACCGGATCAAGTGACAACAGCGTACTTCGCTGTAGGGCATAAATCAACCTCCCAGCACTATCTGTACTCTGGAAGAGCCAGTGCAAGCCGATCAACAAGCTGATAGTCATTAGCAAGATTCTGAGGCCCAGCACTGCATGCCTAACCATCGGCAGCTCATTCCTGAACGGAACTTCGAGATGGACGATGCTCAAAAGCTTGATTTCAAATTAGAAAAGTGATTTTTCTGTACAATTAAGCACCAAGCCAGGGCAATGTACCCAGGCAGCCTTGCCTACTCAAGGCCAGAGGGGCCAGAGAAAGTTCGACGGTGTTGGGTCATCCAATCACACTACACCCATCCCAAGACAAAGCATGTATGAGTGGATATCAAAAAAAGAACGCGAAGCGTTAGATTTCATTGCCATAGACACCGCAGCTATGTACTTCAAAGGTCTCAGATGATCGATTCTTGCCCAGCGACGCATGCATGTCCAGCAAACTCTGCGAACATGTCGACTGGCTCGAGGCTCTCCAGTCTTGCGAACAGCACTTTGATGAACTCCTCTCCGAAAACGTCGTTGAACTCTTCATTCCCTTTGCTAATAATTGTTCTCGTCGCTCGATTTTAATCGCAACCATCAAAAGTGTGCTGGCAATCTTGGTCAGCTTGGTCAGGACCTATAGAACCTTCCGCTGGCTACCTCGTTTCAGCCCCCTTCACGACTTTGTCAAGTATCCACCAATTCTTTCTCACGATTGATCTGTTTCGCCAGATAGACTGGATGAATGAGCGGCTACCTGGAGCGACGCATGTCCCAAAATCGAGAATGATGATCTGCACGCCTAGTAAGTCAGTTAGCTCGCGGAAAATCCAATTCTGACATCTCACTTAGCCGTCACCAAGATCTGCACCTACAGTGAGCATACCTCAGGAAACCAACCCATGGCAGGATGCACGAACTGGTGTGACTCAATCAAGCGAACCTTTACCTCATGTGCCCCTGCGCAACAACAGCAATGCGCTCTAAAAGCGACAACTATGACTTCGAGCACTACTGGAGAGGCCTTTCTTGACGACGGGTTCCTGGAGCTGGTCAAGGTCCAGGCTACCAAGACCGATATTGGTTTTCTTTTCACTCCATCAAATCTTCCTCGTCTTCTTCACCGGGGCCGACGACAGGAGCGATCCCTCCTGTAGGGTCAAATGGCTTGCACCAGAGAGTTTCGAGAAGACTAGTCATACTACAGACCAAGATGCTAACACTATTAGCCAAGGACACTAGAATGTTGTCTTCAGCAGACTGGTATCATCCCTACAAAATACACCTCTAGCGGCTAGACCTCGCCACTTGTTTCTGTGAGACTCCCCGCTGGGTGAGGGAGAACAAATGATGCACCTAACTTTGTCCCTGAAGAAGATAAACGTCAGCCCTTAGAGAAAAGACTGTGATATTAGCAGGCTAAGCTAAAGGGACATTTGAAGACAGCTGAGGTCGAGGTCAAAAAGCATCGTTAAGCTACTTGGAACTTGGAACTTAGTGGGAGAGCAACTATCGGTCAAGATTGAGTGGATGGATGAGGTCTTCCGGGGAGAGAAGCTTCATCGGTCGACAAGCTTAAAGGAATCTGCCGTATGTGATCTTGTCATCGTTCCTCAGGCAAAACCAAAATGAATCCCTTGTCGCCAGGATCCATAATCTGCGACCTGTACCTGCAGAAGCTCTCTCGACCGACGAGCCCACCAACTGCAACGTTTTCGGTATTACATCCTCCGACAGAACAAATCACATTGGAGGCACTGGGAAGAAGTTCTGTCACAAACGAAAGATCATAGAGGAAAGGCGTCGATCGCTGCCTCACGAACTGGAGCAAATGGAACGCCGCCGCCGAGAACACCACGACAGAAGAAGCACACCAGAAAGAAGCTGAGCTTCGATATGCTATCGTCCCTCTTGACTTGAAAGAGAAAAATAAGTCAAGAGACGCTCCATGAAGCCCATCACAAGCAGCCTCAGGGACATATTGGGCCCGCTGATACTATCCGTAGCCAACAACCCACATGTTGGCGCATTCAAGGCAGCCATCAACTATGACCTTGGGGCCAACCCATTGCTGTACAGCGACTCATACGAGCCACATCTTGAAATCTGTTCCCTAGGTCTCAAGACCGGCAGCTTTCCCCGACCAACAGCTGAGGAAACTCGCATTAGCTCTGTCTGGCGAGGGATCCAGCGTCCCGGATGATGTCACCAAATGTGCCTCTATCTCAAGTCGACCATAAAGACGAAAAAGTAGTTATCACCGAGATGATGAAGAGAATTGCAGAGATCCTCAGATGGTGCAACTGTAATCGAGGAGAAGAATTTCCCAGCATTATCGGACGTATCCGTGGCTACTATCTCGCTTTGAAAGAAGCAAAAGAGAAAATAAGGGTAGACTCTATCGTTGCTCATGTGGTAGATGACTAACTGCAGTTTGATCTCAAATTGATATTCGAGACGAACTGAGACGGACGACATAAGCTACTGTCATGAATGGGTCTGTTAAGGCAATCCTAGTTCCGGCAATGGGCCGAAACGATCAGGTCGTCGGCTACGAGTTTTATCCCTTGTCTCAAAAATGGCCCGGCTCATCGACAATTGGCAATTCATCTACCAAGGTCTTGACGATTCACGAATCTATACGAGAACTAGGGAATGAATTCTGCAATGGGCGTGATGAAGTGCTCAATATAAAAACAGAGGTTTCCACAAAGCTATCCGCAAGGGAGGACGAATCAATGACGAAAACACGACGAGATCCGAAGAAGATGACACAGACAGCCATATAATGCTTGTTCTGTCGGCTATTCAGATGTTCAACCGTGGTCCTGCACATTTTACGGTCTCGGAGGAGGGGCTATGCACTAATCTACGAGAGATTTCGGCGACCAACATCCATCACTCTCACCTTCGCTAATGAAAAAACGAAATATATCATGCTCGGCGGTTATATATAAGCTGAAACCGCAACTACAGGTAAAAAGCGGCCCAACATCCTACGTTAAATTCCCACTTTACAGTTGTCAACAATCCTAACGGACCATGCCTCTTGCTTACTGCCAATCTTCCATACCTAGCCTATTATTTCATGGCAGCCTTCTCCCGTACAGCTATCAAAACCGCGCATCAGATTCATGAAGAGCTTCCTGGGGGAAACCCCAAACGGCATATAGCCTCCAACAAATTATCTCCCAAAGGACTATCAAATGTGATCTGCCGTGGAAGAATACCTTTCTCGAAGGCCTTCTCAACCGATGGCCAGCTCCGAAGGTACAATCATCGATCTCGATACCGCCAATGGCCCAGAGTACGAGAACATTGCAGCCTGATCTGTTTATGCTAGCTGCAAGTCTGTCTTGCATCTGGGACGGACCAGTCTTTTCGGTCAGTGGCAAGGTTATCAGCGACATAGCCAAGGTACCAGACAATAGAACCGTTAAAGGGAGCGATTTCAGATTAAACGGGGCTTTACTGCTGCATTTCAGCCTGGGAGCTGGTGAGGTGATGTGCAGTGTACCCACGGATCTATGGAAACTGGGCTCAAAAAATGAAACCCCAAAGGCTGTCCAGACCCATTTCCTGACAGTAAAGGACCTATGGCGACAAATGCTAAGCCCGTGCGGCCATCTATATATCGAGCGTGGCAAACCAGTGCCACGAATGGATGCATGACTGCAAGAAGACCTTACAATCACGAGTGCTGGAGTCGCAACTAGAGGAACTGCTACGAGAAGTTGGAGAACTTGAACAGCATCTACCGAGACGGCCGTAAAGACGGAGGCAACAAGAAGTGACGAGCCGAGGAAGAAAGCCTATTCATCCATGAAAAGATGGCATTTGCTAGCCGCGGTGGCCATTTTCATCCCCATTTTCCGGCTCTCATGTGGACAAAATGATTCTTATCTACAAGACTTTCGTGACAAGAAAGTTGCGCTCGCAAACAAAGTCATTGATGGCTTCGTGAAGACACTAAACGCTCGCATTCCGAGAGAGGAACGATGGCCTAAACATTGAGAGGCCATGTGCTCCCCATGATCAAGGATTTGGAGAGAGAGGCGATGGCACTGAGAGAAGCGATAGAGGAGTAACAGGAGTAGAAGAGTGTTTCGTGGCCTTGACAAACCAGGGTCTACATGGACATGGGAATACAGCATTTCCGCAAGCCGATCTCTTCGCGTCTGTATACGGAAAACTCACTCTCAATGGCCAATTGACGCTCCAGCAGTGTCGGGGCCTCAGGCTGGTCTTTCCCCCTCTACGCAGTTCTCGCCATTTGGGATGGTACTTTCTTTTAAGAACTTCGGAACAGGCAGAGCAGCATGAAGAGTCACCTTGGTTAATTTCCCAACGAGTTGAGAATGCGATAAGACGAGGAGGCAAAAGAAACAGACGAACAAAAGATTTCTTGGGATCATGCACCGACTATGCAGCAGAGGCTCGCTTGGTGAAGAGCATTTAAAGGACCATGTGTCTCCTTCTCACAATGTGTCGTCACTATCATCAGGACAGCAGTAAGGTAACTACACTTGGTGTCGATACATATGTCTTCCGAGTGGCATATGCATAATATGAACTCCAGAAGAGGCAATCGCCCATGCAATTGGTTTCGGCGGGTTGCTCTCTGGCAGTGCCCATCCAATCTGGGTGGTATGCTATGGAGTGTTCTTGAGAACAAACAGAACAGGGTTTAATGCTTCTGTTCGTTGAATCATCAAACTACGACTCTTTCAAATTATTTCCACTTACACTCGGCATCATACACACGCAGACGGCGGACACGGACGCAGATCACGACCCTATCTCCTCTTGGCGCCCAGTTACTCACTTTTACAACGCCATGCGACAGCTGTGGATGCCCAAGGTACCTTAGGTGGACATGGAGAACATTTCAAAAATGCTTTGAAGTTCACGATCTATTTTTCGCTCGATCTGTTCTTGGCAAGTACATGCAAGAAGCAACACGTGGCTAAGCATACTCGAAAAGGCATCGAAACACGGACTCAAGTACCACTTCTTGAGGACTGAAAAGCCACACCTTGGATGCCAACCTTCCATCCATCATTCTCAACATCGGCACCCCTTCCGCTAATGTTTAACATGACCTTCTCTACATTATCTTTCCATACATCAACCCCAAGACGAGCGCCTATTCTACCAAGATCAAGTGAGAGATAACGGGGAACAGCCAAGTATGCCGACAAGGCGCAATCGATCCCCGACGAACTCAACAAATGGGGCATTTTTGTTTACGTGGCGCTAGAAGCTATGTATACCATTAGGATACAACCGTTGTTCAAAACCATTTCAAGTCAGAACATGATGTGAAGCGCTGGATTGAGTCTACCCAAATGACTACACGACAAGCTTCAATACAAAGTTGAGAACCTCGAACAACGTCCTATCCTTATTCTCAATACCATCACTATCACCTAGATCTCTCGATCACTCCACCTTTCCTACAATACCTCTTAAGTCAACAAGACTTAAGGGACAACAGTCTCGACGGTCTGAGATCTAATTTGGATGAGTCGGAGACAGATGACAGGAATATCGATATCAAGTTGTGGAAAGCCTCGATTGCCGGCATTGGAGAGTTTCTTGGGACGGGAGATTACTTCACTTAACACCAGGAAGACACTCAGCTGTGCCCGACAAGACCGGCAGTGGCATGTTGTTTGAAACGCTAGGCACTATCCCTAAGATATGTCAAGGTTCACAGCCACACAACTAGTAGCACAACCCATAAATATCTCCTATACTCCCAAGTCAGTATAAACTCTATGCCGCCTTTTGCGGTGTGAGAGCCCCATGCTACAAGACAATCCTATGCTTAAGGAAGCATGTCGGAAGAAGATCGGAGAGACAAGGGATGAATACCGCAAGACATATCTTATATCTTGTCAGTCTTGGGCTAAGAGATCCGGTTTAAGAGCAATGGAGACTCCAACGTACTGTGATTCCGCAACAAGCTCCGTACTGACGAACTTATCTACACAGAATCTCGTGATGAAATTGAAGATCAGCTTGAGCATGAATGCGATGGCTCTTGGAGACACATTAATCATATAAAGGAGAGCGGCCGTGGGGAGTGAGGCGACGTCGAGAGAGGTTGAAAAGATGGAAAGGGGGAGAGTGGGTAGTGAGTTTGACAATTCCC